GCAGCCACAGCTTCTCTGGGCAACCTGTGCCAGTGCCTCAGCACCCTCACAGGGAACAATTTCTTCACAATATCCCATCTAAACTCACTCTCTTTCAGAGGGAAGACCTGATCTATTGGAAAGTGTCTCTGCCCATGGCAGAGGGTGGAACAAGATGAGCTTTAAGGTCCCTCTCAATCCAAACCAGCCTGGGATTCAGTGATTGGAAGGGCAGGACTGGTGGCCTTGGGGGTTGCATTCATTTTGAAACAGCGCTGGGGGAAACCCATTAGGTTTCCATGAAAGTCCAGCTCCATGCTGAGCTCCAGCTGCCACATGTTATCTGCACCTATAGCTGTGGTATCTCTGAAGTCAGGTATCTGGGATGGGGAGGCATGATCTGCCCCCATAGTGGTGTGCTGTGTGTTCCCTGCTGCACAAGCAGCCCCAGCCCAAGGTCCAGGCTGTCCTGCTGCCTCAGCCCCTTTCTCTTCCCAGTTTTTTTTCCCTGCCACATCCCTTCACACCCTCATTGTGGGTGCAGGATGTGTCACTCAGGCAGATCAATACCCAGGTGCCATCCAGGCTGGGCGAGCAGAGAAAGACTGTGTGTGAGAGGAATTGCAGCAGCAGCCACGTGTGCTGCGTGGGTGGGAGACAGGCAGGCCTGAGATCCAACCTCAGATCTCTGGCTTCACTCCTTCCTCTGGGGAAATGGCTTCTCAGCCAGACAACTACATGTCAAGGGTTCGAAAAGAGCTGTGGCAGGGTGTATGAGAGACACTGCTGAGGAAATGCTTGAGAAAACCGTTTTTTCCAAATTGTCTGTGCCGGCAGGTGGAGGAACCAGTAGGACCACAGGCAGCTCCATGTGTGGGTTTGCAGCAGGTTGTGTTCTGCATTCTGGTGCCATAAGAGCACTGGATCCTACCCCAGACGTGTAAACCAAGCCCAGGGGAGAGCTGAGAGGGGTCATTCTGGCCAGGGTGTGTGACTTTTGTTCAAAAAAGGAGGTTTTCTGCTCTTTCCCCTGTCACTGCTGTGCCATGGCTGAGCAGTGTGCAAAGCAGGAGACTCACCACATCCTCTTTTTGTCACTTCCCTGGATGAGTGTTATGTTTCACAGGTTTGTCCCCTCATCCCAGTTAGCTCTTGGCCTTTTTTCTTCCATTTATGTGGAACTGAGACATGAGATATAACGTGTCCCTTTTAATAATGATCCTATAATGCCTTTTTCCCCCCTAAGGGATCTCTGGGCGCTTTACAAATTAGGTCTCAGACATGAGAATCCCCAAAGTGCAGCTACTTCCAGGATGAAATGTGGATGTTGTTCTACTGAATTATGAGAGGAAAAAAGATGGAATGTTATTTTTCTGCTCAATACTCCTTCCCCTTCCTTCTCATTGCTTTGAGTGACTGGAGAAGGGGGGAGCTCAGATGACCTGTGTCTGGTACTGGAAGCCCATCACTCCCTCAGGGCTTCAGGTAGCTGAGGGGGGTGGTGGGCTTCACATAGCTCTTCTCTTTTCCCTGGCTTCAGGCTGCTTTTTGTGGCAGAGAAATTGCCTTTTTTTCCAGCCGTTTCTCACACACCCTCCAGCCCCCAGTGTGGGTGGCTGAGGTCCATACTGACATCTCACAGTGCTTCCAGGAGCTCCCACCAGCTCCCAGGAGCTCCCCCCAATGCTGGTGTTGGCTCCTAGCCCCTTGCTGATGGTTTGCTTTCCGTCAGGCTCTCCCTTGGGGATCTTTTGAATGTTCTGGTGAATTCTCAAGTCATCAGCCAGGGAGGGTGTGGGGAGGTGGTAGTTTGCCTCTGGGTGTTGGCTGATGGATTGGTCCCTCTCTGCTGTCCCCATTTCACCCACCATTCTCCTTGTGCCAGTGAACAGGGAGTTTCTTCGGGCTGAAGGGGGAGATATGGTCCCATCTGGTTTGGGCCACCCTAGGAGAGAGTGCCTGACTGATTATCTCCAGGACATCCACAGCATTCCCAGGAGCAGAGCAGAGCCAGCTGCCTCTGTCCCTGGGACTGTCACAAGGTGGGAAAAACAGCCCCTGCTCCCAGCATGTCTTGGCATAGATGGATGCATGGAGATGCCATAAGTTTGGGTGTTATCTGCCTTGGGTATGCAGTGTGACTTTCCATCACGTGGCCACACAGGCAGGCAGGTGGCAGCTGTGGTGGCACACCTCAGCTCCCAGGGACTCTGTCATTTCACTGCCTCACACCTGTGGTCGCAGGCAGAGCCTCACCTGCTGCCTGTCCCTGCCCTGAGATGCTGCTGCTGGCACTGTGTGTGCATCATGCTTGGTTAATAATTCATGTCAGAAGAGAGGACGTCAGTGGGATTTATTTAAAGCAAGGAGGATCTGACAGTCCGAGTGCTCCTTACGCTCCACCAGGCAGAGCAAGGCCTGGCTTGGTTTAAAGCAGCTCCTCCATGGCAGTGGGGCTGTCCCCAGCGTGGGAAGATCTGGTTGGTGTCGCACTGCCTGTGTCACTGGATAACCCTGTGACCTTTTCCTTGCCTTTTATGAGAAGGAGAAACAAGTCCTTCTTCACCTGGCAGGAGGGATCTGAACCTTGTGTTGGTTGAGGGCTGGAAGGTCTGTGGGGTGGACCTGGCAAAAGCAGAGGGGTCCTGGTGGAAGGGCTGGTGTTGGAGCCACTGGCAGGAGCCACTCAGCCTTCCCAGCACCTGCGCTGCCTGGGTTTGATATGAACAGCCCCAGCCCTGCTCTGGGCAGCTCTCTCTGCTTTGGCATCAGTACTATGAAAAATTAGCAAATAGCATGTAGTGGAAAACTGGAAACAAAGCCCTCCTGGCAGCTGGGCTGGCATGGGGAGTGCCTACCATGGGCGTTGAGGCTGGGAACTCTCTGTACACTAAAGGGACAGAGAATATCTGTGTCATAGCACAAGTCATAGTGAAACTGCCAAGCTGGAGCTGGTCCTGGTCTTGGCAGGGCCATGGGGCTGGGCTGTGAGGCAGATGTGCCATGGGGCAGCTGTGACATGGGGCAGCCATGCCATGGGACTAGTGGGCCATGGGGCAGTTAACCCATGGTACAACTGTGATATGGAGCAGCCATGCCATGGGGCAACTGTGCCCTAGGGCAGCTGTGCCATGGGCAGCTGTGCCATGGGGCAGCCATGCCCAGCAGCACAGAGAACCGAGGCTGAGCACCATGAGGCTGATCCAGTGGGATGCTGAGCACCGCGGTAGGAGTTGGGCTCCAAGCCATCTCTTCTTACCAGGCTCCTGCAAGCAGGTGATCTCCACGTGGAGGTGAGACACATTGTCAGGGCAATCTTCGAGGCGTTCACACCTCAGCTGTGTGTGCAGAGCCCTCCTGACCCCGAGCAGCACGTGCCTGCCTTTGCCAGGGGAATTGTTTGCCGAGCTGCTCAGAGCCTCGCAGGGTCAGCGCCTTCCCTTCCCGTGCTGGGCTGAGGTTCCTGCCTGCTGCTCCCGTGACAACAGGCTTTCTCTGAGCTGTTTCTTCCCCACTAACACAGTCTCTTCCATCAGACTGGGGCATGGCACTGTTTCCTTTCACGCTGTCACCCTTTGGACACATGAGATGCAAACAGGAGCGTGGTGGTGGCGGAGGAAGGTGTGTGGGCGGCAGGAGCAGGGACGTGTGGAGTGTTTCTGCTCTGCCATCCGGGAACTGCCTGAGCCTGCAGCAGGGAACTGCTGTAATTTGCAAAGATGGTTCCTGGCACAACCTGAAGATCAATAACCTACTTAGCTGAAAGTTTGCTGGATCTCACTTCTTCCCTTCCTTTTCTCCCATGCCTCAATTAGGATCCTGGGTTCCTTGCACACATGCTCCAGCCTTTCAATCTCTTTGCATCTCATGAGCCTTGGGCTCTGTTGCGTCCTGTTTGCTCAGGTTCTCAGCTGGCTCTTGTGCCTCTTCCACTGGGTGTTTGTGCACCTTGGTGTGACAGAGGGTTTCCTGAGTTGACATGAAGCCACATGGATCAGGTTGCGGGCTGTGCCCTGCCTGGTGCTGCACCATGACTGCCAACACCAAAATGAGGTGCTCCAGCCTGAGGAGATCCCCTCACTGCTCCATCTGTTCCAATCAAGGATGCTCTGCAGCCCAGGGCAACTTGTGACAGGACACCATGGGCAGGAGGTGAGAGCACCCTGACAGTGTCCCCACCTGTGCAGGAGTGTGGGGACATGGAGCATGGTCCCCTGGAGAGATGCTGTGCTGGGAGAAGCACTTCTCCAACACATCCCTGGGAAACAGAGGTGTGGAAGCAGATTTCAGGGACAGTAGCTTTGAACCATCCCACCTATTGCTAGGATGTTGGGAGACATTCACACCCCAAGCATCAACTAACCTTTTCCCCTCCCTGAAGCAGCTGTCTGCTGAGCACCCCCAGCCCTGGCTTCTTTTCCTCTTGCACTTTTTTCCTTATTTTTTTGGCAGCCCTCCCCGTGGCTCTGGCTCCCAGGAAAGGGTTACAGCTCTCCAGCATTGGGTTTGCTTTGTTCAGTGCAATGCATATTTCATATGCTCAGCTTCCCAGCTGGCACAGGCCTGCAACCCTGCAAGCTGTCAGGTATTGTCTCTCTCCTGCTTTGTTTGTTTGTTTGTTGGGCTTTTTTTTGGGATTGTCATTTTTGTTGGATTTCTTTCTTTTTTTAAAAAAATCTTTCCCAAGT